CTTCTGGAGCGGGGAGTCCTGTGATACTGATGGGTCCAGTGTAAACAGTATGTTCCTGTCACCCTGAACGTGTGCAGTTCCCTAGCTGGTGACCAGAACTGATGCGAGAGCTCCTCTGCGTAATCCACCACCCACTCACGCCTCCCATATTAGGCATGATCTCATTACTGAGTGGCGAGGGCTTTGGTGGCTCTCTCCGAGGAGCCTCTCCTGGACCCAGCAAGGACTTAACACTTTTGGGGTTGGCAAGGGGACAGAACTGATGGGGTGGTCTAGGTCCACTTGGTTTTAGTTATCATTGCTGTCATTATTTTAAAGCAAAATAGAAAAGACCAGAAAGGCTGAAAGGAAACAAATCAAGCACCTCACCTGAGGCTACAGGTGTAGTGGCTCTCGGTACAGTAGGACGAGAGTTTACAGAAGCAGAGGAGCCCAGAGTTCCAACACGGGCCCAGCAGAACCTACACTGCGACTCGGGGCAGTCACTTCTCATTGTCCTCAAGTTTAAAGTTAAGGAATTCTAAGAGCTCAATTTTCCTAAACTTAATTGACCATAGATACTCTTAAAATCATAAGATGCTGATAGAATACCTAGAGATATTGATTAAATAGTATATGCCTGGATATAAGTAGATGGCAGTGGATGGTTTATCCAACCAATTAACCCCTGGAAAAAACCATAAAAATTAGATTCCAATGTACAATATGTATACATAAATATAATATTACAATATAATTTTATATCGGAAATGGCCATATTTTACATTTTCAAGTAAATATTTTTTAAATGAATAGACATTTCTTAGAGAAGTTTTAGGTTTACGGAAAAATTGAGCAGAAAGTAGTTTTCCCATGTCCTTTCCCTCTCCCCGCACAGTTTCCCCCATAATTATCTTGTGTTTAGTGTGGTAGTATTTTTTAAATAAATGTGTAGCAATGTTTTGAAAGAAAAAAATATTATTAGCATTGTTTTTTTCCCACATGTGCGACACTAATACTGCTTAGAAGACAGTTTGAGAAAACCTGAGATAGCGCTCTTTCAGCATCTCTGATAAAAGAGTGAGGTTTTCCCCCTGCAAAGGGCTCTCCATTGGAGGACAGACATAGGAAAGGGACAAAGCTGCAATAAGAAGAAGGAGGAGGAGGAAGAGGAAGAGGAAGAAGAAGAAGAAGAAGAAGAAGAAGAAGAAGAAGAAGAAGAAGAAGAAGAAGAAGAAGAAGAAGAAGGAGGAGGAAAGAAAAGCTTATGAAATAGCTAATTAAATCACCAAATAGTACATCGTTTGTCTCAAGGCATTCTTTCCTTTTCAGTCAAATAATAATCCTCTGAAACACAAGGAAGCTAAATCACAAGGCAAACTGATCCATAGTCCTGCAACTAATTTCGGAGGAAAAAAAGGCAAATTTCCTGATTTACAGCCACAGGCTTTCTCCACTAGACACACAGTACACCAGGGAGTGAGCACAGGTGGATGCAGCTTATTTATTTCTAAAAGATTGAAACCAGAGGTTCTGCCTCAAAGCTCCAAGGGGTGGCTTCCGGACCAAGGGCAGGATGTTCTGTTTTATAGAATCGGAAGGCCACCCTGAGAAACTCAATTCCTTCCTTGAAGGAATTGATTGAAAATGAGATGGATTCAAGAAGAGTTTAAATAAATTCATGGAAATTTATAACAGGTTTAGGAGATTTCCTAATCTTATGACAAGCCTGCCCTTCCACTGCCTGTGTCAGAGAGAAACTTCTGGACACACTCAGACTAGCCTGAATCCAGCGTGGAGTCAGTAAATCTCTTTTTAATTAAAGCAGTTTAAAAGTATCGAGAAAGGAATTTAAAAACTTCACCAAAAATTACAGCACTCCAACACTTGACTTTTTCTTCCAATCTTTAGGTAGACAGACTTAGTGTTTACATAGTTTATATCACAGTTCATATACAAATTTGTTTTCTACTTCTTTTGGGTAAGGTAATTTATGATCAGTTTTGATACTCCATATAATTATATTATCAATCGTAATAGCAACACAAAATTGTGTTACACTGACATTATATAGTACGCTTCTATTTTTGGACAGATGTTATTTTCAGTTTTTAGACAGTCAAAATAATGTTTTGTACATATGGCTTTCTTGTACGGGAATTTAAAAATTTTATTTCATTGGGCTAAATATTTAGAAATAGAATTACTACTCCAAAAGAATAACCCAGTTTTTACCATTTTATTTTGAAGTAATTTCAAACTTGCAGAAAACTTGCAAGGTACAAAGAACTCTAGTATGGCCTGGTGAAATGATTCTTAACAAGAACAAACATATTTAAGGGCACTTCCTAGTCACTCGGCCTAAAAAACATAAGAAATGCTATTTCTTTGTGTTCATGTAGAATTCAGGTCACTGGTACGGCTGACCAACTTGAGAATCTCTAGTCTGGATAAGTTCTGGACAGTGCTTCCCACAATAACACCATTTCAACCCCTTTGTACTATTTGCCCATCCCTTGAAAAGCTAAAATTAAACCTTCTTAGATTGTATACGGAATTTCTCTCTTCTGGTCCCAAATCGCTTTGTCATAAGCCTCTTGTTCATCTCTTTTTGCCTGAGTGTCCACCGACGTCGCAACATTTCTTGCTCGGCTGATTGGGGTCTCAGTGTGGACCTTGTTCTCCTGCCCCATCTCTAAATCCACTTGGGTGATAAGGGGCCGCCTGATGGTGACCCAGGCATTCTGCGGGGGAGAGGCCTCTCCACAGACAACGTGTCAGGCTGGGAAAGCTCTGAAAGAATACTTGCTTTCAGTTTCCCTGTGCCCACTTTGTCTCTGTGTTATCTGGGCCTGGATTTTATTTCTCCTCCTTAGAAGCAAAGGGCTTTGATACAATTTTCCCAGGATATGATTTCACCAAGATTTTTTTCCTCCGCAGCAATCCCCTAGCTAAAATCAAGGCTCCCCTTGTGTTCGTATCAACCTCCCTACATCTACTTCTTCCTTCTCAGGCTTCCCCGGAGTCCTCAGAGTCTGTGAAAGGGAAAACAGTATTTAGTAGGAACACAAAGTTACCAGAACGTGTGACCAGGGCATTAATCAGTCTGAGTCATTTGGGAGTATTTCAGCAAAGCTCAGAGGTACCTGCTGGTGACCTGAAAACCCTCTCCTCTCAATCTCCTGCTCTTGGTCCAAACCACTTTGTCATAAGCCTCTTTCTCATGACCCCAACCTCCTGGAATCCCAACGCAGGACTGGTGGGAGGGGGCAACAGACAGACCCTCCCCACTGGATGCTACTTTGAAGTTTCACTGATTAGATTTGCATTTTAACTGGGGGACAAAAACCTAAAGGAAAGAGTTTCTAAAGGCGGAATCGTTAAGTGTCCTGGCAGATGGTGAGGAAGGACTCTCCCTACCCCCTCCTCGATCACATTCTGCCCCCCTGGAATAGTCACTGCCCAGGCTTTGGGAGCCAATACCCAGACTACAGGCTCTGTGTGATCTACGGATTTAACTGCGATCGTTCAGGAGCAAATCATTCCCTCTAGGAGTTCAAATTTAAGTCTCAGCACCACCCTTCCACCCCTACTGAACCCAAATGCCAGAAAAAGCCTCTGCCTCTCACCATGGCATACCATGCCACAGGAAAGTAGCCATGACTTTGTGGGGCAGGGCTGCGCTCTGCCGCAGCTTATCTGATGTCCTATCTTCAATGCGTGGTCCCCCACGTCCCCTTTCCTAATAACAGCCATTGGCAGAGCTTGACAAAAATACAGAAAAACAGTTTGACTTTGCCCACAACTGACTTATTTTCCAACCTCAAAATCAGCTCTCCTCGCTTGACAAATAAGAGCATATTTAGGATGAGAATACGTGGAATCTAACCTGTCCTAGAACAACTCGTCATCCCACAATTTTCTCTGCCATCCTTCTGTCCCCTCCCCCGGCATCCTTCCTCTTACTTCTCTCTCACTGTCACAATGCCTCGTCTCAGCTACACATCGACCAATGACGATAGATACCACTTACTGAGCCCTGGGATGAGCCAGGGATCTTAACCACATTGTCTCTAATTCACATGTGACCCGTAGATGCTAAAGCTCAGCATAACTGAAAAACTTGACTGAGCTCACATCCTTCATTACTGGTAGAACTGATTCAAACCTAAGCCTTTCCCCTATACTATGTGGCTTTTCTTTATCAGTCATGTAAGGTATTAACAAGTCAAACAGGTTGCCTATTTCCAGAAGTATTTACATTTAAGAGCAAACTCTAGCACCCTGAAAAGCTTCCATCTACTTAGCAGATGGGTGGCAGTGATAGAATTTCAGGCAAGGCTGGGCAGAAGAACAGTTCAGGCAGAGCACTGGCTCAGCGCCCCCGCCCCCTTTATTCCACGGCCCCACTCAGGGAATGCTGGAGCCGAAAAGACCTCGGTGACTACTGATTCACTTTACAGAGAAGGAAAATGATTTTCCCCATGATTATAGATGTGGGGAGTGGCAGGGCATGTGCTTGATGAAGCAGATTCCTGGCTGGGGCACTTTCCACTGCAGGTAAGCAGGCGAGTGTGCCCGCCCTTAACTGCCCCCATCCTTCTTCCAAATGCTCCAACCCTGGCATTTCCTCTGCTTGGAGGGTAGCTGGTCCACCTGTCCAGTCCTTCCAACCTCTTGTGTCCAGAGAGGCAGAGTTATTGCTGGAGATTCTAGAAGAACCCCTCAGTCTCCTCAGTGTGTATTTGTTTAGAATTGTAAAGACGGCTTTTGGTGACAGGGGCTTAGAGCCAGCTGATCCTAAGGATTCCTTTTAGGTTATTGAGACGAAGATTCTAAAGAAAGATGACTCCTAATCTCCCGTCGTCCAATTCCCAAATTCCTGTGATTCGATGACATCAGGACCATGAATAATCGGGCTGGCCCCAAGCCAGGATAGGCTGTGCAGCTTCCATCATGAACTTCCTCTCCTTCTTTATAAAAACAGGCCCGCCCCATTTGACTCCCTCATGGCTCTGTCCACTGGACATCCTCCTGCTGCAGAGAGACCCGCCCATGAGGGGCCACCAACCCCACCCCCTGCCTTGAAATTTAAAGGAGGCCGGGAGCTGTGCAGAGAGATTGACGCTGAGGTCCTTCAAGACCCGGAGCTGACAAGAAAACCTGGGAAGGAAGTCAAGGAGTCGCGGTAGGTTGAATTCTTTGCCTTTCTATCCACCAGGCTCCTCTTCTGTCTCTTAAAAGTCTTTCTGGCAAACTAAGCCATTAAAAGTATGCCTAAATGAGGGAGTGGCTTTGTAATCCAGGCAAAAAGAGCGTTAGCTAGAGTCTGCACACAAAAAGAGATTTTTTTTTTTTTTTTGAATCTGCATTTAGTTGGGATAGGCTGAAGCGTTTTAGAAGGGCAAGATAGTCAGGGGAGTAGAGAAAAATAGGAGGGAGTTATTTCTTGGAGCAGAAATCTCTGCAGAGTAAAGGCAAACATGAAAAGAATTGCACAAAAATTTTCTGAATAGAAAACGGGAGCACCTCATGACTAACAGGCAAGAAATGTAAAATCAGCTGTTTTCAGACACTAGGCAGCCTTCCTCAATAAGCCCATGGAGAAATTGAGGCTGAGGATGGGCTGAAGAGTAACTTACCTCCAGAGCATAGTAACTAAGTGAGAGGTACTGAGAAAGACAAGAAAATGTTCAGAGAAATGCCTCTGATCTTCCCCCCATACCCCCTCACCATCTCTGCTGGACAGTTTTGTCTTCTGGCTTTTTGCCTAGTGTGCAAGTGTGAGGTCCTCTTTAAAGAGTTTTCAGTTACAGGGGAAAATAACATCAATTTCTTTTATTCTTAACGCACTCTGCAGGAAGCATATCAAGGCTCTCTAGATTTTCACTGTTATTATCTTTATTTTCTTAACCTCACAGGGAGGGCAGGAGGGAGGGAGAAAGGGAGGAAGAGAAGGAGCTCATGCTGAGCTCCCAGGTAACTAAGGACAATCTCAAGCACAAAGAAGTGTGGTAAGGATGATTTATTTGGTGGCCAAGTTGGAATAATAGTGGTCTCCTGCAGCTGATTAATGACAGAAAAAAAATTACATGTTTGTGGGTGTATGCATTTACAATCCCATGAAGAAATTCTGCAAATACAATCGTTAAGTGGAGTTCGCTCAAAGGACTTCCTAGTAATTCTTGTCTGTGGGAAGGAAGACTCATGCTGGGATCTGGACACTGACTTGTCTAGAATCAATATATGACGGTCAGAGTGAGCTGCTGGGTGAGTGCTTCCTGTAAGAGCAAAGCCAGACTTAGGGCATAGCAGGATGCAGTGAATATTAAAACAGAAATAGTTGCATCCTATCCATCAATTTATCCTACCTAAAATGTTCTCAAAGACATCAGTTTCCATTCTCTGGAGTTTGTCACGAACAAATGATAGCCAACCTCTATCCAAATGGCTCCGTCTCTGTCCAGACTTTCCAAGACAATCTCCATTTATTTTGTGAAGCCACATATCAGACTCTCCCAGTGTCTGTTCTATACTCAGTTGTTTTATCACAGGCCTGGAACTGTTCATGCAGCCAGGGAGTAGCTGAGAATAGCAATGATGCTGTTATTCGTTTGTGCTCATTGAGGCAGGACGCTGGGACTCGGCTTTTATTTCCTCCGGGCCTAACACATTGATAAGCAGAGCTGAAGATCAGCACATTTCAAACTATTATAACAAGCAGCCCAGCCACAGCTTTGGTGGTGTGGCTTGAAGCAACCATAACCATGTAAAGTTTTTGTAAATAAGTGGCAGGGACCACAGAGCAATTGAAGAAACTTACTGTCCAAGTGAGGTCTGCTACTGATCTGCCAACAGGAGTTTTTCTGGTCATGAGATTTTACATCAACTTAAGGAGCCCTTTGGCTAGGGTCAGCATTTGGAAGGAGCATTGCAGAACCTCCAGAGCGTCCAGAGTGTGTGTAGGTTATTCTCGATCGGATGGCTGAGGTGGCAACATGGTTCAAAGCAATGGTAATGGTCTTAGCTGCAGTCAAAATTCCAAATCCATATACTTCTCTGAGATACACGGTATCTGGTTATGAGGAAAAATTTGGGTATTGAGTTGAAATGTTGAGTTTCACTTGATTATTTGGCATTGTGCATCTCCAGTCTCAGAATAAAATTTCTATTTTCTGTGAGTGATTTTCAGCTCTGTTCTGAGAAGATGGCTAAGATGGACGATGAGTGGCCAGAATACTCTGTCCATTCCTTCTTTGGTCCATTCGCTTCACATGGAGGAAAATTCTGTCCATAGTTTCAGGTTGTACACCTCATCCTAGTCAACCAGCTCACAAAATCATGTGGTGGGTCTCAAATCGAAGCAGATGAAAAATGAGGATGATTTAGACTCACAGAAAGTTTGAGCTAGAATGAATCTTAGAGAGGAGCTGCTCTGGTCGAACACTAAGTCCAGCCACATGGTCTCCTGATTAGTTGTCTACTTACATATGAGGACAGCACAATCCCATGAAGAAATTCTGGAAATACAACTGTTAAGTGGAGTTCTCTCAAAGGACTTCCTAGTAATTCTTGTCTGTGGGCAGGAAGACTCATGCTGGGATCTGGACACTGACTTGTCCAGAATCAGTATATGACGGTCAGAGTGAGCTGCTGGGTGAGTGCTTTCTTAGTGATATTTTGTACATTTAACATTCCATGCTCCTTCCTGGGAAATAGACTTCTGTAGATGGGAGGAGAGAAACAGATAAACCTCTTGATCACCTGAAAATTAAGACCTATGACAGAAGGCAAAATGAACCAGGTGCTGGGTGCACAGCAGGCATTTCATAAATATTTTTTGAAGGGATAACTCAGCCAAGTTCTGGTGCAGATCATGATACCCCAGGAAATGCTAACCAGACAACCTTCCTATAGAACTAATAGAATTGGGTCTCCGTAGCAGCTGCGCAATGCTATCCATGCCAGTGGCCATGATCTGGAAGGTGACTCTTGGCCAGCAGGCCCAGCTGAGGTGCACAGGATGGCCATGTGATGTGCCTGGCATGTACACCAGTGGTTTGGAGGGGTTTGTTTGGGGATTGACCTTCAAATCCTGATTCTACCTGGAGCTTCTGACCACTTCAAGGTCAGGCCGAACCCAGATACTGAGACACCTTTGTATTAAGAGACTTTTCTGTTTAGTATATATTTATAAATATTCGACCAACTTATAACTAGACATTAAAGAATCCAAACTGAACTGCTCTCCCAAAGGCCCCCACATCCTTAGACTTCTTGGGCTTTCCAAACCACACTTCCTCCTAGGGACACCCTGAAAGGGAGACCCTGGGGTATGTGAATTATACTTTTTTGCCCAAAGAAAGATGTTTGTGTTGAAGAGTAAAAGGCTCTGGCTGCTTGTTGCTATTGCCCCAGGCCCCAAGCAAAGGGCCCATCTTAGAAATATGCTCTGTCAAGAACACCCCTCTTCATTGCTTGGCTCACTCCTACTTTTGTTCAATAAACAGATTATACGGTATCTATTCCAAAAAGCCTACCTTAACAGCCTCTCACCTCCAAAAAATGTGAGTTAGATCACCCTCCTCCACATTCCAGTAGGACCCTTTCCTTTTCTGCATTCCCACCTTCCATTCCCCACCCCCCTGCGTATCCCAGCACCGATCACACTAGACGATAATTGTCTAGTTACTTGTCTGTCCCCTTCCTAAACTATGAGTTTTTGAGGGCACAGTATATGTGTCTTTATATCATGAGCCTTGTCTGGTGCATGGTTCGTGCTTAATAAACATTTGATAGTGAATCCAGAGAGTGAGTAAATCATCACCTGTGAATTCAAGAAAGGAGAAAATTAGACAGAGCTTGAGGTTGAGGTGGATGGGATGGGGATCTGAAAGACACTGGAGATTCTCAAGCCCCTTTGTTAGAGATCTTTGTATGAGCAGTTTGATGTCAGCTGTTTCTTGAACATAGGGGACAGGAGTCTAGGCGAGAAAGATAAGTCTAGTAACCTACTATGAGCCGTCTAAAAAAAGACTACTAGTTGACTTCTCTGCTGGCTATTCACATTTTGTCATGTTCTCAGAAAGGGAAACTTGTTTTATTTTGCCTCATTGTAGCAAGAGCCAGTGTCTGCTACCTGGGCCGCAGAGAGAAAAGGAAGGTTTTTGTTTTGTTTTGTTTTGTTTTGTTTTGTTTTGTTTTGTTTTGTGGGGAGCAAAACAAAACAAAACAAATGTTAAGCAATGAGGATTATTTTTCTCGTGTAATGTCTCTGGTTTTCAAACATCCATGTGGTCTGCATTAGATGGGTCTTATCGGTAGTGAGGGCCTGATCTTCCAGCTGTCTTAGCTGCTAATTCCGGCTTCTTCCCAGAGTCCAGAGTAGTCCTGGCATGTGTGGTGCACGTAGGCCTGAGAAAGGCAAATAAAAAGACAGATTGAAGCTAGGATAAAAGACACTATCCCATATCCAGGAAACAATGGCTCCTGTTAATGCTGATCTCTGCACACAGAAGGGCGTGATTCTATCAACTGTAAAGAATCTGGTTACAGGTTATCATAAGACATCCAGGTAATCTAGAAAACAGTATTTGGGATTAACACGAGCACAGTGAGGACCCCATAAAGCTTGGCATCCCTTCTGCCTTTGCAGCTTCTAATTATTTTCCAAAAAGAAGCTGTAAACTTTGGTGCTCCCATGACAGTAAGTACAGATAACCCTGTTGTGCACCAATCATCAAGTACCAGACTTTACCTGCTTCTTCTATAATTGCTGTAACAATTCAACAAGATGGAAATGACTAGTGCATTAGAAAAACCAGGAAACCATACACACAGCCTGTAAGTGATAGGTGGAGTTTGAAGTTAAGACTCCAGAGGCTGTGTTCCTCACATCATGACATGCTACTCTCTCAAATACCAACTTTGAACTCATTGAAAACATTTCCAGTCAGCATCGGGACACAGCAAGGAGAAGTGGAAAAAGTGTCAGTAGAACTGGGTATTCTGGGTTTGAGTCCCAACACAAGTTGTCTCCTTAGGGCCAAGTCCCTTATACTTTTCGGAGTTCAATTCTCTCATCCGTAGAAACAAGATAATAATATTGCCTTAAATGATTCATTGGATGTAAAAGGGTGTTGTAAACTATGTCTGGCAAGTGGTAGGTACTTGAAAAACCTGGTGAGT